ACAGCCGTATGGGGCAAATAAGTTATCTTCTAATCAACACGCCATCCTTTATAAAGAGAAAGAGGATAACTTGGAAATACTTTTCAGTTGACTTCGTACTATGCATACACATTGCTTCTCCTAACAGCAGTTTTCACTGAACTATTCTACTTTTATAAAGTGCACCGCTCCTGTCACCTCTATCGTTGAAGAGTGAGAACGCAATGGGAGGGTACGGGGAGGGGTGGAATTTCATCGCTGGTAATACACAGCCATGGAAGAGTTCATCTCGTACGTGGGCTGGAAATGAATTAACCTGTGAAAGTGGAATTTTCACACCGCCTATCTGTGCCACGTTCTACATTCCATCTGTATTGATCAGGCGGTCTATAATGCTGACGGTAGGAAGGCTTGTCACTTGTTCACCCGCTTGCACTTCTCAAATTTTGTACTTCGTAACCATGTCCGATCATCGATATCTTTTATAAATATATCTATATCCTATTTTCATAACTAAAATATCCATTTATATCTTTCTATTTTCTCTTTTTTCCAAATATCGCTCCGCATCTTCACTCTCATTTTACTTTACTTCATCCAAGAAAAGATGTTTTACAAACTTACGACTTTTAAAAAATAATAATTAATTAATTAAGATCGCGATTATTTTCAAATTTCTCTCTCTCTCTCTCTCTCTCTCTCTCGGTTATTAAAAATTAAGCTTAAATTCCTTATATCTTTATAAAATTGAATGGTAGATGATAATGTATAATAACACTTCACTTGCACGGTATTTAATATTTTAATCCTCCTGTGATAAATATTTAAAATAATGAGAAATTTCTCATTTCTCTCGTAATTTATCGGCTTTTATTGATGTTTTTGATAATCTCTCAAAATCAATAAAGTGCATCATACTCTCATATTTTAGAAAAGGTGTTAATTTTTAGCGGTATCGATGTTATTTTTAAGCTTAAAAATAATCTAAATACGATAAAATAACTTGGCTAAATCTTATTATTTAAGATTGGACGGCTTATATTTTACCTCCGCATCGTCAGATGTATAGAGAATTTAATTTTAGTTACACATCTACTGTATAAAGGATTGCATTGATGTTTAGAAGACAACGCTCCACATGGGTGATCTACTGAGGGGGGTGTGCCTCTCGGGAGGACTTTCTACGGAAACTGGCTCCTATTTAAATGTTAGACACGTGAAAAAACCCGGGAAATTCCACCTGGTCAGCCCGTTGGTGAGAGGCGCGAACCCGTAACCAACTACCAATGTTCAGTAGTTTTATCCACTGAACACTGGTGGTCACATCTACAAAGACTTTTCGAAATAAAATTACATTTATTTAATCTTTATATTATAAATCCATCTTACAAAATTAAAATTTATAACTTACAGAAACGTTTATAAATCATTTATTTTAGCGTTTATGTTAAAATAATTTCAGACGAGAAGAACAAATTGATTTTTTGGACTCGACTTTAGTCAAGACATCCAAAGCGATGGAAATGCTATATCATCAGCATAATTCCCTTATTCTAATTTGCATATGAGAGTTGTGGCCCTATCCAAAAAATTCTCGTAAGCATATATATGAGAACCTATCATCTTACGATGATAAGCTCTCATATGTCAGTAAAGAACTTCATTGATGAGTAATTTTAATAAAGAGGAGGAGAGGAACCCAAGTCGATCTTCAATAAATTACATTAAATCGAACAAAAAACAACTTAAATATGGAATATTTCGAAAAAATCTGTTCTTACCTTTCACAATTCTCCTCGCTAAGAATGATATGTAATCCATATCAGTTCATCCTCGCTGCATAAGGATCAAGAAAGAAACTCCAGTTCAATAATATCTTAGAAGTTACATAAGAATAAACAGATTTTCAGAGTCCATCGTCAAATATTTGTGATTGAAAGATGTTTAAGCAAATCCTTTTTTAAGCAAAGGATCGCCAGTCAATAAATAAATAAGGATTGTTTGTCTTTGATCATATGTCATAGTTTATCTTTCAGTACTTTCTGGAAAATTTTATTTCTCTTTATATATATATATATATATAGAAGTTTTAAAGAAAAAGTTTAAGTTAATAATTCTCTCTTGAATAAATACCTACTTTTCCAAATAAATATTGAAGCAAATCATTTCGTTCTCTCCCCCTCCCTCCGATTACGTGAAATCTTTGAGAAATTACTGCAATTCGCTAAGGAATTACATTTAATTTTGAAAAATTTTGTCGTGGAATTTTATATTTTTGAACGAACTGTAATTAGCTTCAAACTTGAATTATAAAATAATAAAAATTTATACGAAACTCAATATAAAAATGAATTAAAAATGATAAAATTTCGATGAGAATTTTTAATCTGCAAAATCGGAAGTTTGTTATGAAATTTTATTTGTTTTTTTTTAATATTAAAATTTTTAACATAAAGATGGGCCTATAATTAGCTCTATATTAAAGAAAACTCAGTTATGAAATTTTTAATATAAATTAACGATGAATAAACAAAAATTCCGAATAGAATTTAATGCTCTTCGATGTATAAAACTAAGATTTTCACGTTTAAACCGAGCATAATTATTCAAATTTTCGACTTTTAATAATGAAAATTATTGTAGAAATTTACTTTTCTTAATTATAAATTGATAAAGAGTAAGTTCTTTTGTCTAGCAATAAGATTTTTTTTTATTAAGAAGGAAAAAAAAGGAAGAAAAATTCCGTGCAAGGCTGAACTTCCAATTGGATTGAAACAAAGCAGCGTGAAGAAGTTGGAGTTATCGTACTTTTACGAATGATATTTCTCTTTCTTCAATCCCAAAAATGAAAACGATAATAGAGGAAGATACAAAGTGTCAAATATCTTACCAGAAATTTACTAAAAACTATTATATCTGCTAAAGTAGAGAGGAAAATAATTTGGAAGAAAGGTTTTTCTATCTTCGAGTAGTAGAAGGAGATGTGAAGTTAATAAATCAACCGAAAATGCGACTTTACCCTGAATATCTAATGGTATTAAGTATATTAGAAATATCCTTATCAATTTAATACCGTAAATGTAATTGCAAGAAGTAAAGCAAAGTAGAAGTTAGGTGTTTTCTAACTCGCTTTCTCGGTGAGAGTAAATGAATACAAACCAATAACGGGCGAAAGAAAAACAAGGTAAGAATGATGTTATGTAAACATTACGTCATGGAAAAGGCTGCAGGGCAATGGCGACAAATCTTCGACGACCGAGCAACACTCCGAGCTGTTTTCTTACATACAACTCCTTCTACATCCTTCCACAACCTCCATAATGCTAATGGATAAGAGGAGGATTATATATAAAATAATAGCATATTTTTATATTAAAATTTCTATAATTATTGCCACTAGTGAACGGAAAGAAATTTTTGGGGTAAATATTTGCTTAATAAAATTTTAGAAAAGCAATTTACTCTGTTGGATGTAATTTTGGAATATATATATATATATTTTTTTTTTCTTCCTTCTTCCTCCTCTGCCTGATTTTTTAAGTAATCTGACACAGCAGTTAACGAAAATAATCGTGTCCTGCTTTTTATGCACAGCCCTTAAAGTAAGCCACATATCTAGTAAAACATTTAAAAAAATAGAATTGTTTCCATTTATATATATAACAAATTTAGAGTTTTATGTAAAATTCTTAATATAAAGTTATAAATTTATCAAAATTTTGTTCGGGATCTACCTTTAGAACCTCTCCACTCATTGTATTATTTAGTCTCATACGTTATCATACTCGATAGATATTTATGAGAATGTATTTATATTTTGCATATACTTATATGAAGCCTTATTTGAATCAAACTTTATTTGTTGCGTGTATACATCTATGCTGGTTCATGAATAAATTTCGTTATGAGACTCTTATACATTTATGATTCTAGCTATGAAGCCGTGGTTTGAAAACTAGATATGCCAATGCCGTATGCATATCTAGTTTGGTTATATTGCATATTTATGAGTTTAACTACGCAACTATTGCATATTTATGTGTACGATTTTTCTCTTTTTGACTATTTATCTCTCAGACTTAACTCTAAATAAATATGCATATGTGTAGTTTAGTTTCGTACGTGTTCGAATTTGTAAATATTCTTTAAATTACATGATTAAATTAGGATATTAAAATATATACGGTAGATCGAAGGAGGAAAAATTAGTTTTAAAACTTTCTTTGAACATAGGCCGTCTTCTATGATACGTGTAAGATATTAAGTAACAAAGATTTTAACAATGTTGTAAGTAATTGGCTGTAAAATAGAAAGGCACGCCTACTAATTTAGAAATTGACATTAAAATAAACGAATTATTAAAAGAAATAATCATTTTATATCTTGTAAATATCGCAGAGAACCGCTTACGTTGATATAAAATTAAGTTTTTACTTAATTTTATATTTTCTTTCTTTAAAGTTATTGCATTCACTTCTCGCATTCTATATTATTTATTATCATAAACGTTTTCTATCCTCTTTCCAAGAAAGGAAGTATATTAAATTCGCAAGGAAAACTTAAATCTCCTACCACAAATCAAAAAGTTGCATTTTCATCTCAGAGAAGCTGACTCTGGTCGCTGGCAAACTAATAAACATTTGGAAGGATCTAAATTTCTTCTTCCGAAACTCACTTTACTCAAGTTTATCATCATCCTGAGAAATAGTAGCGGTGTATCTGCGTTGAAACTAATATTCCAAAACCTTCGAATTACTCTTGCGCCAGAAGGGTCGCTTGGGAGAATTCACATTCTTCCGTAAAAGCTAAAATGGAAAACATCGTGTAGGACTTGTCACCATAATAGAAGATGTGTCTCACACTTTTCCCGAGCCAATTATATCATACCGTTTTCAAAATAGTCTTGTCAGGAAAAGTAGATTTTTCCCCCTCTTTTTCTTTTTCTCTTTCCGCTCCCTCAACATGTTCCATGTTACACAAGACGATCCTTTAAAATCCTATTTGTTTTCGTTCCTTTCCAGATGACGCAAAGTGGAGTTGCTCTGATTGAAGAACGGTTTCTTATTTCTTTTGAAGGAGACGTAGAAACATCACCTGTACAGTAAAAAAAGAATCTGTTTGTTATGCTTAAACTACGACAGGTGAGTTAACTCTTCAACTTTTCTGTTGACAATTTAAGATTATGAGATTTATCCACTTTCCTCTATATCTCATTTACATGAGAATTTTTTCAATTATCTCCCCTTTTTCTTTTCTCGAGCGTGCACAAAATGAAATTTTCGATTCGTCGAAAATGCCAATAGAAACGATTCTAAACCCGTTTAGAAATTATTTCTGTAGATTTTTATCAAAGGAACTCTTTATTAATTGCTTATACTTTTACACGGGATCTTTACAAATTTCAATCTAAAGTTAAAACTCCATTTAAAAATAACTTTATTGAGGAAAACTTTAACTTAATTAAGAGATTACCTTTCATAAACAGTCTACAATTTACTTTTATTACCGCGCTATTTTTAGTTATGGCCAATTTAGTTACTGCTGCTACTTCTAAACGTCTAATTAATGCTGTTACTATTTATTATTTATGTACATAATTTCATACTCTCTTTCTCTAACTATAACTAAACGTTATGTAATTGAAAATTGCTAATTTTTTCCTTTTTATATCTTTCTTAAACTCGATGATTTTATAAATTTCTGTCATTTCTCCAACGAGTTCTTCGAGCCAATAGGGCGATTCAAATTCAAATGGATAACATCTGTGCCATATAGTAGTTTGTCCTCTGATCCAAGATGGAATGTTTTCCAACAGACAAGATGACAAGCTGACAATTTCTACAATCATGTCATCGGAACATGACCGCCGGATGACATTTACATTCAGTTCAACCACTCCTGGTGCCATCTTGTTTCCAATACAACACTCCTGCATAACTCTATCTTTTAAATTGGTCGTTTCCTTCTTTCCCTAAAACTCTCAACCGTATGGAAGAAGAGGGAAAAAATGAAAAAAAAAAAAAAATATATATATATATAAAATAAAAACAAAATATGTCCACTTCCCGAAATACATTTGCTCTTATTTTTCTTCTTCTTCCCTCCTCTTTGTTTTTATTTTTTTACTTTGTGAAATTTCGTAAATTGAAAAGGATTCTCATTCCATTAGATGGACGAATTAAATGTATTTTATGTTATTAAATTTTACGAAACTTAATCTTTTCACAATTCATATCGATATGAATTCATTTTTTGAATATTTAAATGTTTTTAACTCTGCCTTTTCGTATTTCTTATGTCAGTAATATATTACAAACATATATATATATATATATATATTATATTTATTTATTTATCATCATTTTCTCTTCCTTTTTACTCCATTTTTCTTAAATTAAACTTATCATCATCGTCTTCTTTTATCCTGATTTATCATCATCTCATATTTCTTAAATATAATATTAATTATCGTCTTTTAACTAATTTTCACTTTATTTTATTGCAATTATTTTACATTAAAATCCTTTCTCAAATTCCAATTGTTATCTTCTTTCTTAATTAATCATTTTACACTTCTTAACTTTTAATTGCCCTTTCGTGTAAATAATTCTCATTATCATCATTTTTTCAACTTCTTGCTCCTCTAAAATTAAAATCACTATCATCATCATTATTTTCCTTTTAGATTTTATCAATTCTCTTGAAATTTAACATAGTTTTTTTTATATTTTAACGAGCCATCTCCACCTAATTTTTTTAATTATCATCATTTTCTCTTCCTTTAATTCTTCTTTCTTTATATTAGAATCACCGTCATCATCATCATCATCATCATCTTTACTTTACAACCGTCTTACGCTCTTTAATTTTAATTATCATCATTTTTCTCTTTCTTTTACTCCACTTTTCTTCCATTAATATTATCATCACCATCATTTATTTTTCGAAAATATTATTCATTATAATTTAATTTAAAAAAAAAAAGTTAATTATCATCATTATCGTCTTTCTTAATTTATCATCATCTTATATTTCTTAAATTTCAATTACCGTCTTCTTTTAATCAAATTTTAATTATCATTTCTCTTCTTTAATTATATTCATTATCTTTTTTCTCCTTTAATTTAATCTACGGAAAGAAATTATTTTTATTTTTCTTCGAGTCAACAAAATAATAAAATAACGTTTTTATTTATTTTATTTTATTTATTTTTTTTTGTCGTTGCATTTTTTTTTTTTTTGCTTAAGAAACATAACAAATATTTTAAAGTGTATTTTTTTTAATGTGTGGCAAGGAGATTTTCATGTTAAAAAATTAATTGTTTACAGTTTCTAAATTCAAAAATAAGAGAATAAATGCATAAATGTTTAATGCTTGTATTATAGAATTATCTTAGTCACGTGAGCTTAAGTTCGTGGGTTTTTTTTTTTTGCAATCGATCCATGCAAGTATATTGAGACTTTTGTAATAATAAACAGTAGCCCAAAATTCGAGTAACCGTCTTTCTTGCAAGCAATTTAACAATCTTAACACATGCCTAATGTGGTCCAAAAGTCGGGTAACCTCATTTTCTTGCCAATATTTCGGCAATTCTTGCATGAAAGACCGCTGTAATCGAGAAGGATCATATTTTGAATATATATATATATATATTTCTAAGGTAATTAGTCTTGAATAAGACAGAAAAGTAGCATTTATAGCGGTTATCAGACTTTTGGGCCATCAGTGTATTACAGAACAAATATATAAAAAAGAATTTTATCTCTATAACTTATACGAATGGCTCATAAAATATTTATATATTGCATTACAAAGCTATAATTTCTGCTCTTGAATAGTAAATCATTACGAAACGTTAACATATTCTTTGCACAGACATATATATAAATACATATCTATTCTCGAAAATAGTACAAATGTCCATTTACTTTTCCATTTTTAGATCTATAAATTCATTCGATGTTACTATTTACTATTTCCAATAATATAAATCAATAATATATATAAATTATTCCTCTCCTTCTAGTTATTAAATGAATAAAAGAAGTAAGAACTCCCAACTCTTTTATTAAACATTCGGGTTTATCCCTTTAAATATAATTAAAAATTAATATTTTAAAAAGTATCCGTTGATAATAAAAGAAAATATTTATTTATTTTTTTGCCTTTAAAAAATTCTTTTTTAAAGTATTTTTAGGGGATTTGAAAATTTAAATTAAATATTAAAGAATCGATCGGGATGAAAAATATCTTTCAAATCATTATCAAGAGCGGAAATTAATCCAACTTCTATGTAACATTAGTACGATTTCAATCAGTTGAGGTAAACGAATCCCGTCTGATGTATTTTCCTTTTACATTTTGCGTCAACATCTGACGTAATAAGTATTGAAGTTTTGTTTTATTTGAATGGAATATCGTCTTTGCTATGCTTATACATGAAACGATACACAAGGGGAAAAATTAATTATATCATCTCTTTTAAAGCCCAGATTAAGTTATCTGTAATGGTCAAAACTGCTTGATTTTGATTAAATTTTTCAATTATTACTTATGTGTTTACTATATTTTTATAGAAGAAAAATGGATCATTAATTATATTTAAATAATATTGATTTATTATCATATGGTCCCTGCTTCACGTTGCTTTATTTCGGGATCGCTCAGTGGCACCTTGCATTAAGAGCTCTTACGTCCACTCTTCGATTAAGCACTTTTATTGCCAAATTGCTTTGTAGTTCATTGTTTTGAAGGCTTTAGCTTCCCAATTGTGTTGTGCCACATTACATTAAGAGCTTTAATTGCCAACTTGCGTAATGATCTTTCTTTTTTTTCCCTTGTTGCGATATAGTTTAACGGCTTCAATTTCTTATTTCGAGGATTTCTTTCTTATGTAAAATGTCAGCCTTCGGTATATCGCCGCGTGTAGATCACCCCTAAACAATACTCTAGAAGTATATAATATTTATATTGTCTGAAGAATAATTTTAACGCCCGCGCAGCATATCTTTGCATCGTAGACGATGGCGGCCTACTGCAATTAAAGTTTTGTCCATTTGTAAATTAAAATTATCATAGAAAATTTGTTTAAAATTTCGTAAATAAAATTGAATATTTATAAATTTTAACGAGATGAAGCCGCTGTGACATTTTGCAAGACGGTCGTCAACAAATTAACGGATTACTTCAGATAACACAAAGAAACAACAGAAGAAGGATCTGGAAAAACAATTAGGTGAAAGTTTTATTTCTAGAAGGATTGCTGAAAGAAAATAAGTCGGTCATTGATCCACTTTCCTTGTTACCGCCGTACTAATAAGGATCGGACGAGCTGTGTCCAGTTTGGTTGGTTAAACAGCGGTCGTGAAGACAATAAATTATCCAAAGAATGGTGGAAACGATGGTCTCTTCTACCTCCCCATTTTCACTAATGGGATGGAGGGATGGTAACCTAGCCCTGGGTTTCCGGCTCTTGTCACTTTTATAGTAACCGTTATGGGAGACGGAAAGGCCATATTTGAGAATGATGCACTCACGTGCCAATGGGAGTGTGCAAGTGGGGAAGCTCGTAAAGTCTCCACCGTTGGGTGGCCCTGCACTTGCCACAGGAAACCGGGCTCTTGTCGAAAAAACTGTTACTATGGATTGTATGGATGAACATTTGGGAATGTCCTCTCGACGATCGAATCTAATAATTGGATATTGGCCATAAATCTTCGCTCTTACGGATGAGAATCCGCCAGGAAGTTTATGTTTTGAGTAATGCCGAAAATCGATAATCGATGCTTAATTAGCAAATCCTTTAGTCGAAGAGAATTATGAATAGATTTTTTTATTGGTTTCTGGATAATCGAAGAATGTTTAATTTCGATCGAAGACTTTTATAAGGATCGAATTCTGATCATAATGATGAATGAATCATTGTTTTGATCATTGGCATCCGAAATGATTAATGGATCCCACTGCGTGATAAATGAATTTTTTCCATGCCAATTGTGCTCTTTCTCAATGATCAAATGTTTTCGTTCACTTCCATGATCGATGAATTTTTAATTCTAAGTAGAGATTCTCGATAATCGTCCAATTCTTGTAAAATTACTCCTCTAACTCTTTAAATTTTTGAAAAATTTTCAACTTTTC